GTAGGCCCCATACCTAATTTTTTCCCTATTAGGTTAAGGAAGTGCAGGATAGGCTGGGTGCTCTCGGTAACGCTCCGGAGTGCACAGGGGAGAGGATATATCAGACCCTATCTGTCATGCACTGATTTCCTTATCACCACCTGTCGGACTTTCCTGGTTTTTTATTTTTTTAATATTTCTGTGCAGTCCTGGCAGAGGTATGGCAGAGGCTACTGCTGATCCAGATTTCACCCCAATTATAACCATTGATATACTTGTCCAAGCCGGACGATAGCCCATTGATTTAAAACAACGTCATCTTGAAAATGCATTTGTCTGTCCATGTATTTTTCTACTATTCTTCTCCATCATCGTTGCCATCATCAGCATCACCGTCACCATCGTCATCATCATCATCATCACCATCGTCACCATCATCGTTATTATCTGGAAATCATCATCATCGTCGTCGTCGTCATCAGGCCACCCTCATTATCGTCATCACCAGGGGCATCACCATCATTTCATCACTGGTAAGGTAAAGGCAAGTGACAGCCCATGCTTCTCCGCAGAGTTTGTGCATTGCCAGAACAGCCGCACAGAGCTCAGCGCCCAGCAGCACCAAGCACAGCACAGAAGAAGCGCTGTTCATCAGCAGCAGCTAAGCTAATTACAAATTCCTAATTGTTGTTGTGAGATTGATTCATGCGCTTCCTTTGTCAGGGCCAGCGGAGTTTGATTTTGATCATCCCATTATTACTTTTACTTCATGAAATAAACTGATTTTCCAATGCTCCAATAAATGATGGCCTGATGGGAACCCCATGTTTATTTAATTTGATTATTGATTTATGCTATCAGATCAAATCAGATTCATGTTTGAGAGCAAAATGAAAATCTACAACGACCAGGCGAAATCAACCCACTTTGGATATAGACCGCTCTGTCTAAATGTTTATAGTGCCGGACAATCACTTAGAACGTCAATTTTTCCAAAATTTTGGACTCTCACACTTAGAACATTAGGGACCCCCCACACTTAGAACATGGTTGACACTACTGACCCAAAACAGTTAGAACATCAGGAAATGGATGTTCTAAGTGTGAGGCTCCTTGCAACTAACCCTGGATTCCCACACATAACATCACAAACAAAGAGTTCGGTTCGGGGTCACGTTTATTTTCCTGTCTGCGCCCAATCAACATGTTAGCCAATCAAAATATACTTATGTCAATAGACCATGATAGAAATATATATATATATACATGTTGTAATGCCTTGGGGTGTTCTAAGGGTGGGGGTCTCCACAGCTGATTGACAACTTTGGGTTCATATATATAAAAAGAGTTATGTCAATACATCATTAAATATGCCTATATATATATATACATATGTGTGTGTGTATGTTGCAATGTCTCGGGATGTTCTAAGTGTGGTAGTGTTCACAGCTGATTTGTCACTTTGTGTTCATATCAATTTAGTTATGTCATTAGATCATGATAGTTATATATATATAAACACATAAATATATGTTGTAATGTCTTGGGATGTTCTAAGTGCGAGGGCCTCCACAGCTGATTGATAACTTTGTGTTCATATAAATATAGTTATGTCAATAGATCATGATTTATATATATATATGTGTGTGTTGTATCTAATGTCTTGGGATGTTCTAAGTGTGGGGGTCCCCACAGCTGATTGATAACGTTGTGTTCAAATATATATATATATATGGTTATGTCAATAGATCATTCAAGATTCATATATATATGTGTGTGTTGTGGTGTCTTGGGATGTTCTAAGTGTGGTGGTCCCCACAGCTGATTGATGACTGTGTGTTCATGTGAATATAGTTATGTTAATAGATCATGAGAGAGATCAATATGTTGTATCTAACGTCTTGGGATGTTCTAAGTGTGGGGGTCTCAACAGCTGATTGATAACTGTGTGTTCAAATAAATATATTTCTGTCAATAGATCATTTTAAATATATATATATGTATATGTTGTAATGTCTTGGGATGTTCTAAGTGTGGGGGTCTCCACAGCTGATTGGTAACTTTGTGTTCATATAAATATAGTTTTGTCAATAGATCATTTTCAATATATATATATATACATATAAATATATGTTGTAATGCCTTGGGATGTTCTAAGTGTGGGGGTCCCCACAGCTGATTGATAACTTTGTGCTCGTATAAATGTAGTTGTGTCAAAATATCATTATAGAAATATAAGCTTCTCCGCTTACATAGAATATGATTTTTTAGATTGCACGGGCACATTTGCCGAAAATGTACTTAGAATATGTTCCCATTTCATGTTGATTTTTCTCTGCCCATGCTGCCTTTGCTCTCGAAGCCTTTGTACATCTCTATGCGGCGGCGAAATATGTACTTTTTTAGTACACAAAGTAAAAAGAAATCGGTCAATTTGGGGACCCTGCCAGTTTTTTTTATCACCAAACACCTTGTGAAAATGTTACCTATCTATCTGTCTGGAAGCATGAAAGAATTTACATGGAAAAAATATATGGAAAAGTGAAGAATTTGTATGGAACATGTGAAGGATTTTTCAAGAAAAATGAAAAACTATATGGACAAATGATGAATTTGACTGAAAAAGTGAAAGGCTTTATATGACAAAAATTTGGAAAAGTGAAGAATTTGTGTGGAAACACGAAGGATTAAAAAAAAGTGAAGAATTTCCATGGAAAAATGACGAATTCGTCTGGACAAGCGAAAGAATTTGTATGGTCCAACGGTATTCTAAGTATAGTTTTTTTGACGTCAACTGTATTCTAAGATATTCTACTTTGGTGCTTTTTGAAGTTGTGCAACTTACAACTTGGCTTATAAGTGCACCAAGTGGAATTATATATACGCCAAATGAATTTATAATGCATCTAACCCTGAGCATGTTGAGTTATAAGTCACGGCTAAACTATAAATGGTTAGCTCAGACTTAGGCCACTTAGTAAATGGCCCGAGGACCACCTGGCTAAGTGCTTATAAGTGGGTTAGCTAAGTTCTGTAAGTCCTTCGTTTTTCTCGTGGGTTTCAGAATTCCGTCGCCTGAACATTTTTTTGGCGAATTTGAAAAGCCAAACAAATCACAAAAACAAACTTTTTCTCCAAGTTTGAACAGCCAACCAAGTCACACAATCAAACACAGGAAATCTCAGTTCAGCTCTTGTCCTGCCTGCAGCTGTTTTTCAAGCAAGCACTTGCAAAGCGAAAAAACGAACGACGATCGCCCAAAAGCAAGCCGAGGCTAGCCCGGCACATATATCGGGTCGAGGCTCGCCCGACCCATGGCGCAGCAGAGTTCAAGCTCTTTGCATGCACACCTTGGTCCCATCCCCGTCCGGGGAACGATCACAAGTGAGCAGCGGGAGCAGATCAAAGCTGCCACGTCTTGCTCTGCGGCAGTCAGGGAGCGGAACCAGTGGGGCGCCCGGATGCTGACTGTCACTGGCCCAGCCAACGGGCTGCAAGAAGCCCATAGCATGGCCGTGAAGTTCATAGAGGAGAACGGTGAAGATAAGGGTCGTGCAGATCCTGCTGCTGCCAGTGCCAAGAATGAAAGCAAGAAGAACTGGCATGGTTCCTGGCACTCCTGGTCCACTTGGGATGCTGACAAATGGGTTCCGAGAAGCGAACATGAGGAGCTGAAAAACCGCCTCAAAACAGCGGAAGGGACCATTGCTGGTTTGCAGTGGCGTATGAGCTGCTGGGAAAGCTGGCACTACTACCAAGGGCAACCCAGCTACGGCTATGTGTACCAGAGTGCAGAGGCTCGCCCTGCACGTGAGCCCCGCGCAGAGCCTTGCCCGGGAAAAGATGAAAGAGATGAAAGAGACCGCACCCGAGACCCCAGCAGGAGCTATGACCGACGTGACACCGTGTCACCTTCGGAAGAAAGCAACAGGACCATCCTGCCTGAAGAGACACACACAAAGGAGTCTCATGCCAAAAAGCGCAAGAAGAAGAGGAAGGACCGCCAGCGATGGTCTGAGGATACGGGGCATGGGGATCAGCATGATCAGCGGCATTGGCAGAGGAAGAAGTGAGGCTCGCCCATCTCTTGGCACGAGGCTCGCCCGTGCACTAAAGAATCTTGACACTAGCAGAATGAGCGCTAGCGTGAAAATGGCTGGCACTGGCAGCCTTAACTTTCCCAAGTTGACCGTTGAATTTCGTCGTTCTGTCTTCACAGCGCATGGGCAAGTTGTGGCAATTTGTGCTTGTGCATGACCGCAGCCATTTTAGCAGGTTCTTTTCCAGGAAGAAGCTGGAGGAAGGCTCGTCCTCTTCCGTGCAAAAATGGAGGAAGGCTCGTCCTCTTCCGTGGCAAGAAGGCTTGTCCTCTTGTTTCTGATATGAAGAGAAAAAGGCCCAATTTTGACACCTTTGTTCCTCCGACTGTGACTTTGAGCGTGGCGGCACGAACATCTGGGGGAGACAGAAACCAGCTCCGTAAAGGTATCATCAGGCCTTTGCTGGAGGATTCCGTGTACGGGCACATTCTCCAAAAGTGCCCTATCCAATTCACCAACGGCGAGGCATATGAATGGGAATACATAAACCCGTTTGCTCTCATTCACCAATATACTTCAGCCCGACCACGTTTTGGCGATATGCTGCGGGGGGCTGGGTCCGTACGGATCGCTTTTTACATGGATGAAACTACACCAGGCAATGTGCTTCGCCCAGATCATGGTCGATCACTGGCGTGCTTCTACTGGACATTGATGGAACTACCGTCCTGGTTTCGGAGCCGCCACTGTGGCTGGTTTTATTTCGGGCTTTTTCCTCTGTCGCTGGTGGAGCACGTAGCAGGTGGCTATTCTTTCCTGTTTGCCTTCATGGTGAAAACATTCTTTGGCAAAGGATTGCTAGCATGGGATTTCGACAGGACAGGCATTTGCTGCAAATCAAGTGGTGGAGACTTCATTTTGAAAGCGCGTTTCGGGGCCCTACTTTCAGACGAGAAAGCAATGAAAGAGCTCTGGTGCACGAAAGGTGCTAGTTCCTACAAGCCTTGCCACCTGTGCAAGAATGTGATGGGCCGGGTGGACCTGCCAGACCGCGGCTACTTGGTGCACTACACTTGCACAGATTCAAGCCGCTTTGATTTGCATACTGCTGACAGTTTCCGGACAATGGCACAGAATCTGAAGCTTGAAGCTGGCAACCTGAGCAAAAAAGACTTCGAGCGATTGGAGCAATCTTACGGGCTTGTTTTCGACCCTCTTGGCATCTTGTGGTGTGAAGATTTGGGAGGCATTGTCAACCCTGTATCACACACCTACTGGGACTGGATGCATATATTGATGGCCTGTGGTGGGATTGCTCAGTATGAGTTCAATCAATATGCTAGGCGCCTTTGCAGTGCTGGCGTGTCCTTGCGGGCCCTTGACGATCTTGCTGCGGAGATTGTGTGGCCAAAGGGTGCTTATTGGTCAAAGAAATATTTCCAAAAGCGTGTGGTGGATAAAGACGGTGCCCATTTAAAGGCGTTTGCCAATGAGCTTTTCCAGTTGACGGACATTTGGCGCTTAATACTCCAGCTGGTGGTGCGCCCGGCTGGCATCCTGGAGCTGGAAACCAGAAGTTTAGAGAGCATGATGAAAATCATTGACATTTTGTCAATGCAGGAAGAGGCGTTGCCTCTTGTTGGTGACTTGGAAATCGAAATTGCCCAGCACCACGCTTGGTTTCTAGAACTTTACCCGGATTGCAACAAGCCGAAAACACACTGGCTACGACATGTTCCGTCCTTGTTCAGGGAGTTTGGCTGCAATCTCAGCTGCTTCAGCCCTGAGAAGAAGCACAAGGGAGTGAAGCAGCTGGCGCTTTTGATTTCTGCCAACGTTGAGAAAGGAGTCTTGTACCGCGCAGTTGCAGAAAATTTCTCTTCTTTCTCCAATGATGAAAATATGCTGCGCCCTATTTTCCTGGAACGGGCGCAGGACATGGAAGCTGAGTGGCTGCGGGCATTCTATCCGGACATGCAAGAAGCGAAGGTTTCAAAGACACTGCGTTTTGAAGGTGGACGGGTGTCAGCATCAGATATGCTATGGTTTCCGGCTACAAAGCACCTTGCTCAGGCATCCTTCTTTTTGCAGGTTCGGCTTTTGAACTCCTCTGAGTTCTTGATCCACGGGGACTTATATCAGCAGGTTCGGGACAGCAATACTTTTCGAAGCACTGGCGTTGCCAGGCTTTTTGTTTGCACTAAGGACATGGTGCCAATTTCTTTCTGCAAACGAAATGGCGGAATTTGTCCTTGTGTGAGGCTCGCCCACACGAACTGAGCCAGGGCATTTAGCTGAGCGAGTAAATGGCACTGGTCGACCCCTGTATATATGTATATATATAACTTTGTACATACCCTATATGTAAACTTTTAAAATAAACATATATATATATTATAATATAATTATATATACTATTTTGTCAGACATGCAAATGTCTATATCTATGTACAACATATAAACCAGTTTAAACCCTATGTGCTTTGTGTTAAGGAAGATCCAACCCTTCATACTACCCCTCACCAGTTCATGCCAAATCTATGGAGTGCTTCTTTGGGTCACAGTGCTGTGCTTGTTTTGCAGAAGGTATGCACCAACATGCGACCACGTCAGTTCTTTGTAGTCGCAGCAGCCATATATACCCACAAACCCGAGATTTGACTTCAGATCTTTGAAAGGCTCGCCTTCAATCTTTGCAAGGCTCGCCTGCAGAGACTTGCGCCATGAGCGCCGCTAGCGAAGTGCCTGCTACTGCCACTGCAGAAGCTCTCCCCGAATCTGCGGCCAGTGAAGCTACCGAAGCGGCTTCTCCAGCTGAGACGGCAACATCTTGTGCAGAAACGCCTAGTGGCGTAGTTCCTCTGGACAAGGTGGAGACCGGCCCTGGACTTCCAGCAGAAAATTTGTGTTCCACCTGCAGGAAGCCTGTCTCTGAGGAGAATGGTGTGGTTGTGGCACGGGCAGTGGGGAAGACAGCTACTTCTTTGCGCTGCAGGGCATGCCACAATTTAAAAAGTAGGATCAACCGGGTGTTGAGCCACTATGGCTCATTGGCCCAGGATTGGACGAAGGTGACTGAAAATGAGAAGAAAGAATTTTACAAGAAGTACAAGGAGCAGGCGGGACCGGACCTTCTGACCAGGCTCCAGGAGACAGTGACGGAAAGCAAGAAGACCAGCAGCGCCGTCTCCTTCGAGGGCACCGGCGATTTCCTGGACGAGATAGATTTGGAGGAGAAGTACAAGAACAAGCCAGATCAATTGGCCGCTATTAAGGCCAACACCCGGACCTACTTCTGTCCAGTTCGACAGGTGCAGCTTTTCGAGGATGTGAAATATAAGCGCACGGCTGTGGAGACCGAGGAGTACGCGAAGGTGCAGAAACGCAAGAGGCAATCAATTCCGCTTGAACAAGGTGAACGTGATGAGACGGCTGCAGATTCGAGCCAGTGCAAGAAGGGCAAGAAAGAAGCAGCCAAAAGTGAGCTGCCGAAGTTGAAGGCTGGAGGCAAGAAAAAGATTTCCAAGAAAGTGGAACTGATGAACGCAAAGAAGCTGCAGCTGATGGATTGGAACTGCAAAGCGCGTGGTGACAAAGTCAAAGACTTGGTGCCTGGCTATGTCGTGAAGGCTTCCACAAAGCTGGTGGATGACGCTGTGGCCTTTGGGGTTGAATGCGACAGCATTCTTGAAAGTGGCCATGGCGACGCAGATGAGGTCATCAAGAAGGCAGACTCTTTCATGGAGCAGCTGACAGAGATGATGGGCCGCGTCAAGTGCCAAGTGGATCAGGCGCATGCTTTTGTTGCCACTGGTGCGAGCGGCCAGGAGTGAGGCTCGCCCGCTCAACTTCCAGAGGCTCGCCCTGAAGGCGGCAAATTTTGACAGCACGGGGATTCCTTATGAGGAGAAAGGAAAATATCCCGTTCTTTTTGTTTGCAGAAAAAAAAATCAAAAAACGAAACATTTTGGGCCGTATCGGGGCCGTATCGGGGCCGTATCGGGGCCGTATCGGGATGACTTTGGATACCCGGCCTTATTGGGACCATTCTCTTTCAAAAAATGAAATGTGAAAGTCACGGTTTTTTGGTGGCGCTCCGCGTGTGCAACTTCCACTGTGTATGAATTTGGGAATGGGCAAAATCACACGAGCTCAAAGGCCAGCCTTTGAAGCGTGACAAAAATATAAGTGCAAGCCGTAAAGAACACAAAAAGCGTCCAACACCCGGCCAAACACGTACTCCCCAGCGCGCACTTGGCTCACAAAGTCTCTGTGAAAGGCTCGCCTTCACCCATGGAAAGAAACGCTCCTGCACGCACGACTCAGACTGAGATGGCTGGAGGTCCCCCCCAGCTAGGTGGAGGCTCGCCCCAGCTGCAGACATGCGACGGCTCGCCCCAAAGAAAGCGAAGGAGCGGAGGTGAAGAAGCGCCGCGCAAGCAGCCACGCAGCTCCAAAGATTTATCCCCTGTTTCAATGGGCGCTGAAACTTTGACCCTCGACTTTTGGGAAGACAGAGACATAGAGGTGGGCGAGGACACCCAGCAATTCCCTGAGAATCCATCGATCGACTATGAGCTTGCATACACAGACTGGATGTTGTCCCAGTTGTCTGAAAAGGATGGCACGTGCAAGTGCAAATGGGTAACCCATGGCACTCGCTGGCATCGATGGGTTTGCTTTCTCTGCAAATATCCGGGACCCCAATGAGGCGCTTTCCTCCAGAGCCACCCCGAAACGCACGAGCCATGAACGGCGGCAGTTAGTTTAATTAAACCGTGAGGCTTGCCCACGTGATGCGCAGTGCAATCTAGTATATGATGCAATTTTTGCAAGAAAGAGAAAAATGAACAATCTGCTTTTCTTTGGGCTTACAAGGCTTTTTCCAGCTTGTCAGCTTTGGCGCATGTCAACAGGTCTACTTTCCCAACCACAATGTGCATTTTGACAAATGCAACAGCAGGAAAATAGCTGAAGCATCTGTTTTTCTTTGGCCCACATCTGCACACATACTTACAAACACCACAGTGTATATACCCAGCAAGCACGGCTCAAGAAAGCATTAGCTGTTTTGGTTTGAAGATGGGGTCGGAGGTTTTAGTTCCCGAACCCAATGACTGGAAAACAGAATTTCCACAGCTGAGGCTCGCCCAGCCAATCCACATAGCAATGCCATGCTGCGGAATAGACGGTGCTGGTTGGTCACTCCGAGCTATGGGGGTGCCCTTTACACCAAACAACGTATACGACCTGGAGACGCGATACAAGGAGTACTGGCAGGGCATGGTTGAAGAAGGCTCGCCTCTTCATTTCGGAAAGCACAATGGTGACATTGTCCAGGTCCAGCTGTCGGACTTGGAGCGCCCAGTGCATGTGCTTTGCAGTGGCCCGCCATGCCCGCCTTGGGCAGGAAATGGCAACAAGAAAGGTGTGGAAGACTTCCGAGCAAAAGCTTTTCTGGCTATTGTGAATATAGTGGCTTCGCTAGCCAAGTGTGGTGAGCTGCAAGCAGCGATCTTGGAAAATGTCCAAGGCATTTTACACCGCCAAGGTGGCGAAGAAAGTTTCATGTCAAAGCTTCTGCACATTTTGCAAGAAGAAGTGCAGGAATTTCTCTGGCAGGTGGACACCCTCAAGGCGGTGGACTACAAGCTAGCGCAGGACAGAACGCGTGTGTTCTTGCGTGGGATCCGGAGCACGTTGTGCCCAAGCGGGGCGGTGCCACCTCCACTACCCCCATTTGGCCACAGAGTGTTGACAGACTTTCTGGCGTCAATGCCTTGTGTGGACCGTAAGAAGCTCACAAAGTGCATGGCCCAAAACTTGAAAGACAGCCAAGAACAACTGCGGAAACTTTTGCAGGAAGGTCGCCTCGTAGAGACAGACGTTGTCTGCTTCCCACTGGACCGCGCAGATGGCAAAACATACAAGCGGCATATCAGCGTCAATCGTACACCAACATTGACCACCTCGAATTCATACCTGTTTGTGTCAGACATGAAGGTGGGCCTCCCAGATCAGAAACGGACACACTTCCGTTTCTTGCATCCGCATGAGCGGTTTGTTTTGCAAGGTTTCAACGTGGAAGTCGCCGAACAATTCGCTTCCAGCCAAGCCTTACAAGTCAAGGCAGCAGGAAATGCCTATCCAGTGCCACTCATTGGAGCAGCAATGGCCCCATTGCTGGCTGCCTTCGGTGAGCTGCCCCAGAAAGGAGAAAGGGAGCTGGAGTTCCCCACGCGTTTCCATGAGCGTTTGGCTGACGCCATGTACGGTGCTGGGAAGAAAAGCAAACCAAAGAAGGCAGGACATAAGGTGCTCAAACGACCGGCTGCACACCAATCATCAGACAAACCTGCAGACGAAAAATTGGACAAAACCCATCCTGGGCCCCATGACAAGGAGCAACATGACGGTGATGGGGCACAGCCTTTGGGTGAAGAACGTGCGGGGCCTTCCACCAAGAAGCGACCTGCCAGCACGGCAAGCATCGGAAGGCCCTGTCAGAAACCAAGACTCCCTGCCGCATGGCGCCTGCGTGGCTTTCTTTCTTCCTCGAGCTCTGACTCCGGCTGAATGTGCAAGGCTCGCCTGCACCATCATACCAGTTTTGAAGCAAGGCTCGCCTGCTGCGATGCGTAACCACGACGGATCCACAACTTGCGCTAAAAACAATAACTTGCAAGTGTTACCGCCCAGAAGCCCGTTGCACTCTCACAGGTGGGCAAAGATTGCATGAGTTTATTTCCTCTTCCACGCTGGTTCAAGCTGACCACGGGTTGCTGCGAGGCTTGCCCGCAGAAACATTGAGAGCGAAGCTTTTGCTTGTGATTGTAGGGACAAACCACATGGCTGAAGCCCGCTTTGATGGGATGCTTGACTACTTCGCTGCTCTCCAAAAGAGCTGCGGGGGGTTCCTTGAAAAGGACGCCTTAGACCCCCTGTTGAAAAGCTGCATGCTGGATATTGAACGCGCCCCGCCCATAACCATAGAAGCAGGGGCCAGCATGCTTAGAAAGCTTGAGAAAGCTACCGTGCCCCAGGCATGGCGTGAAGCTTTAGTGAAACTGGTGCAAGCCAAGGTTCAGACAGGCGCAGAGAACAGCTGCAACGAAGGGAATAAGAAGAACAAGGAAAAACCAAGGCAGACATGTCTGCACTTGGACAACTATTTCTTGAAGAAGGACTGGGAAAAACTGGCTTCGGATGGGTTGACTGACAAGGTCAACTTGGCAGCGCAAAGAATGGCAGCCCTGGGTTTGCTGAACCCAACAGAGCCGACTGTGGTGCATGCAGTCGCAATTCTGTATTTGACGTCGCACAAAGGGACCCTGGAAGAACTTAACATCACCGGCGTCCATGCTTTGAATACGGTGCGGGATTTGAAATCTGTGCTCAGAGGATTGAAAGGCTTTACGCAGTCTGGGATCACCAACTACCCAATGGATCCTGCAGAATTGCCCGGCCCCATATTCATGAAAGCGTTTGGACAAGAAAAGCCAGAGCCAAGCCGTCTGGATCCTCACGCGCTTGGATGGTTACAAGTTGTGCTACCTGCAAGGGACACGCACACATCAGTGCGAGGTGCCTGGGGAAAGCGAACCTCGCGACTACGCACTGGCAACAACTTCCAGGAGATGCTCATGAATGCCATGAGCAACCCTGACATGGCAGCAGCTTTCGCCAGCATGATGAGAAACAATTCTGGAGTGCAGCTGAACATGACACGCCGGAAACAGTTGATGCCAAGCGCTGCCTCTGCACAGGTGGAACCACTCATGTTGGCAAACGGGCCAGCTGCTTCTCACAACTTGGCAGGCAAGCAAGACCCAAAGGATGAAGTCGACCTCGAGACATCGCTTCCAAGTAATGAAGAACCTAGCATCAAGGCTCGTCCTGGTGCAAAAGAAATCAGCAAGGCTCGTCCTGCTGTAAGTGAAACCAGCAAAGCTCGGCCTGCTGCAGGCGAACCCTGCGAAGCTCTGCCTGCAAAGGACAGCAAGGAATTGCCTCCGCTGGAACCCAAAAGCGTAGATGCCATGGCGAATGACATCTTGGCAGCCATTGGCGGCCAAAAAAGAAAGAAGACCGCTGCTGAAGAGACCACCGAGGGCGATGACGTGCCCATGCCGAAGGTAAAAGCCAAAAGCAAACCAAAGGGAAAGGCCAAAGCCACAGCAAAGAAAACATCTGCTGTGGCCAAGGCCAAGAGTACGCCTCCCAAGACCAAGAATGCTGCGCCCAAAGCAAGCCCGAAGAAAAAGAAAGAGGTCTTGCCATTCCCTGGGACAGCTGCACATGAGCCCGTTCGCCACAAGAACGCTACAGTTTACATATGCCCCAAGTCGACCAACTACAGGGTCAAACTTGATGGTGAGAAGAAGGACAAGGCCTTCAGCTGGAAACGCCAGGATGCGAAGGAGGCATGGGTGCAGGTGAAGGAATACATCCTGAACTTGGAGTGAAGGCTCGCCTCACCAACTTGGTGGAGGCTCGCCCCACCATGGCTGAATCTGTCACCCAGTTGACGGAAGCTATGCCCACCTATCGCCTGAAGAGAGGGCTTGTTTCACAAAGCACAGCCCGCAAAGTCCAAAATTTGCATCCTGATATTTGGCCTGCTTCTTTTTGGAGACGGGTTGTTCCTGTTTTTTTGCTGCTGCATTGAAAATTTGAGTGGTCCTTTTTGTGTTTTTTGCAACCTCCGGTGTGTTTTTCAATATGTCCTTTGGCCTGAATGTTGCCCCCTCGTGCGTGTTTTTTTGGAATCCCTCGTGGCCTTTTTGTGGGACCCTCGTGGCCATTTTCCTGATCACGAGGATTTGCTGAGCTAAGTGGTTATAACTCCCGCTAATTAGTTAGCTGCGAGGACCCTGCAAATTGTTTGTAAATGGTTATAACCTTCGTTATAAAACAGCTAAACGCAAAAAGCGCCAAAGTAAGTATCGTTTTTCAAGTTCAATTCCTGGGATGCCCGGGGAAGCCAAAAATTTCAATTCCATATTCTGTGTAGGTGGAGGACTTTATTATATATATATATATTTACATACATGTTGTAATGTCTTGGGATGTTCTAAGTGTGGGGGGGTCTCCACAGCTGATTGATAACTGTGTAATCGTATAAATGTAGGTATGTCAATAGAATATATATATATGTATGTTGTAATGTCTTGGGATGTTCTAAGTGTGGGGGTCTCAACAGCTGATTGATAACTGTGTGTTCAAATAGATATATTTCTGTCAATAGATCATTTTAAATATATATATATGTGTGTGTGTATGTTGTAATGTCTTGGGATGTTCTAAGTGTGGGGGTCTGCACAGCTGATTGGTAACTTTGTGTTCATATAAATATAGTTTTGTCAATAGATCATTTTCAATATATATATATATATATACAAATAAATATATTTTGTAATGTCTTGGGATGTTCTAAGTGTGGGGGTCTCCACAGCTGATTGATAACTTTGTGTTCGTATAAATGTAGTTATGCCAATAGATCATTATAGAAATATAAGCTTCTCCGCGTACATATAATATGATTTTTTAGCTTGCACGGGCACATTTGCCGAAAATGTACTTAGAATATGTTCCTATTTCATGTTGATTTTTCTCTGCCCATGTTGCCTTTGCTCTCGAAGCCTTTGTACATCTCTATGCGGCGGCGAAATATGTACTTTTTAGTATACAAAGTAAAAAGAAATCGGTCAAATGGGGGACCCTGCCAGTTTTTTTTATCACCAAACACCTTGTGATTTTTTTCCTATCTAGTTGTCTGGAAACATGAAAGAATTTATACGGAAGAAATCTGGAAAAGTGAAGAATTTGTATGGAACATGTGAAGGATTTTTCAAGAAAAATGAAAAACTATATGGAAAAATGCTGAAATTGACTGAAAAAGTGAAAGGCGTTATATGACAAAAATTTGGAAAAGTGAAAAATTTGTGTGGAAACACGAAGGATTTTTTTTTAAAAAAAAGTGAAGAATTTCCATTGAAAAATGACGAATTCGTATGGACAAGCGAAAGAATTTGTATGGTCTAACGGTATTCTAAGTATACCTTTTTTGACGTCAACTGTATTCTAAGATATTCTAAGTATCGTTTTTCAAGTTCAATTCCTGGGATGTCCGGGGCAGCCAAAATTTCAATTCCATATTCTATGTGGGTGGAGGACCTTATATATTTACATGTTGTAATGTCTTGGGATGTTCTAAGTGTGGGGGTCTCAACAGCTGATTGATAACTGTGTGTTCAAATAAATATATTTCTGTCAATAGATCATTTTAAATAAATATATATATATATATGTGTATATGTTGTAATGTCTTGGGATGTTCTAAGTGTGGGGGTCTGCACAGCTGATTGGTAACTTTGTGTTCATATAAATATAGTTTTGTCAATAGATCGTTTTCAATATATATATATATGTGTGTGTGTGAAATGTCTTGGGATGTTCTAAGTGCGAGGGTCTCCACAGCTAATTGATAACTTTTTGTTCAAAAAAAAATGATGTCAATAGATCATGATAAACAAATATATATGTTGTAATGTCTTGGGATGTTCTAAGTGTCGGGGTCTCCACAGCTGGTTGATAACTTTGTGTTCATTTAAATATAGTTATGTCAATAGATCATCATCATATAAATATATATATGTGTGTGTGTGTTGTAGCGTCCTGGGATGTTCTAAGTGCGGGAGTCTCCACAGCTGATTGATAACTTTGTGTTCTTATATATAAATGTAGATACGTCAATAGATCATTATAGAAATATAAGCTTCTCCGCTTACATGGAATATGCATGTTTCAATTGCACAGGCAAATTTGCCGAAAATGTACTTAGAATATCCCCCCATTTCCATGTTGTTTTTTTTCTCTGCCCATGTGGCCTTTGCTCTCGAAGCCTTTGTACATCTCTATGCGGCGGCGAAAAAAAGTACTTTTTAGTGTACAAAGTAATAAGAAATCGGTCAATTTGGGGACCCTGCCAGTTTTTGATGTTGGCATCAAACACCTTGTGAAAATTTTACCTATCTATCTGTCTGGAAACATGAAATAATTTATATGAAAGAAATTTGGAAAAGTGAAGAATTTGTATGGAACATGCGAAGGATGTTTAAAGAAAAATGAAAACTATATGGAAAAATGCTGAATTTGACTGAACAAGTGAAAGAATTTATATGGAAAAATGACGAATTCGTCTGGACAAGCGAAAGAATTTATCTGGTCCAACGGTATTCTAAGTATATATAGGTTTTTTGACGTCAACTGCATTCTAAAATATTCTAAGTATCGTTTTTCAAGTTCAATTCCTGGGATGCCCGGGGAAACCAAAATTTCAATTCCATATTCTATGTGGGTTGAGGACCTTATCTGTTTATATATATATATGTGTGTGTGTTGTAATGTCTTGGGATGTTCTAAGTGTGGGGGTCTCCACAGCTAATTGATAACTTTTGTGTGCATATAAATATAGAATATAGTTATGTCAATAGATCATCATGAGATGTTCTAAGTGCGGGGGTCTCCCCTCAGCTAATTGATAACTTTTGTGCACATATAAATATAGTTATGTCAATAGATCATCATGGGATGTTCTAAATGATCGATTTTCCTAATTCTTACCGTGAGGGTTCACGGCTGTTCCAAACATAGAAATAGACATAAAAATAAAAAAACGTTTTCCAAATGACGTTCTAAGTGAGTGTCCGTCACTATATTTTTTTGTCAAATTAAAATGATGATATCATCAGAATTGATTCTGAGGTTGGTTACCGCAAGGGCAACCACGACTCCATTGAACAGTTGAACTCGGGTACTAATGAACATCAATTATTGGAATCATATTGAGTCAATGGCGGTTGTGGATGGAACCCAACAAATATTCCCAAAAAACATCTTGTCACTTTTTGACTTCCTTAACCTTAGGCCAGAATAATATATATATACATTATATAGATTCACCAAAGGATCTACATGATCTACAAGTTCTTCAACCACTAGAATAACACAAGAGATCTTTCCAGTCGTCGCTTGCCAGGTGAACTGCGCAGACTTCCGCGTCGGCGGCTTGGAACAGCCTGAGGCCCTGGAACTGATGACGGCACCTCGAAAGCCGCCAGGGTTTCCGCCATGGAACGTAGCCCTCCCATGGGGAATCCCCATTTTTCCATGGGTTTCCATATCCTAATGGTAAATACATAGAGTGTATGGTCCGAAAATATTTCCCCATTCTACTAAAACTGGTTGGTGGTTTGGAACATGTTTTATTTTTCCATATATTGGGAATTTCATCATTCCAACTGACGAACTCATATTTAACACAGCCGGCATTGGATGTTCCACCATCACAAAGGGTGAGCCCTCATGCACGGTTACCGCAGAACCCAGGACAAACCAGTTTGCATCATTTCTTCACCCGAAGTACCCCAAAGGACAAGCCTGCCGCCGAAACTGCTGTGAGTTCAGGGCAAACCACGCTTCATTCCTTTTTTGTCAAGGCTAGGAAGATGGAAGCCAAGGTGCAGCAGGCTCCCGCAATTTCAAGCCCACCAGCACTTTTAGATGTACACAAGAGCGTTGACTCCACCGTCATGGACATGGCTGACAAGTCGAATGCTGTCGTTGGCCACAAGTGTTCGTCCAGTCAGGAAGTTGAGCCGCCAGTGTACACAACCACACGAGCTGTGCAACCCGCGTTGCCCCAGCCAAGGCCAGCACCTCGCCCTGCCTGGCGCATCCATTTGGCCAATATTTTCGATGAATTAGCCACGGTTGTGCACAGAGAAACGGGGCCGGTGATGCAGGTCGAAGTCTGGTACATTCACCACACAATGTTCCCAGAATGCCTTGCGCCAAGAGCAGTGGAGCTTGACAATATCCAAGAACTATGGTACGATGACCTGTGTAATGTTTGGCTTGACCGCATACAGAGACATGAGCCTTTAAGGGTAGTCAATGTACTGCCAACACCTCCACATCAGGCACGGCCTAGGTCTGCAGCACATATCATCTTGGAACAAGGCTTCACCCAAGACCGAATTGCAGTGCATTTTACGGCAATTTTCCTAGGTGGCACACACATGGGCCTGTTTCAGCGAGTGGAATCCTCGCCCCCAAGACTTTGCACCAGGGATATGATTGTCCGGCATGGGTTTCAGATGCAATGTGCCTATCGCCAATGCAACATGCATTCAGGCAGGATCAGATTTGCCTTAGATGAGCCAGAAGAGGTTTTCTCAGGCATTTGTGCTGTCCTTACAGTAGCCCCGCCTCCAGAAGAACCGCTCACGATGCACATGCCAGCCACAGAAGCGCCAAGTAGCTCCAGCAACGATGCCAATGGCCCAGATGCTGTGTTGTTGATGCAACGCACCATCACGCCCAAGAGGCCACCACCCAACATTCGACCGGCAGACCCCACGTCAAGTAGTGCACCCAGCACTCCGGCACTCTTTGACCACCGCATCACACCTGCTGCCCTCACTGAATTCAGGGCTACGCTGCTCTGGCAGCTGGGGATCCAGGAAGGAGGTTGTAGGGGTGAGCATGATGAACCACACCAAGTGCACACGTGGTACTTGAACTCGGACACTTGCATCCGCACAGAAGAATCCAGAGTTGTTCAACTGCGCTCACAACCTCATACTTGGCATCAGGACATCATTCAGAGTTGGATAGATCGTCTAGATGGCATGTTCCCGGTACATTTACATGTGGTTACTCCTAACCCGCCAGGCACGTCCTTGGCACCGGAAGCCCATGTCATTGTCCTTCAACGCCCTAATCCACTTTGGCGTAGTGCATTGCTTTCAGTGCTCCAGCCACGCACTGATCCATGGCATATGCAGTTTGTGTGTGCCATGTTGGACACTGAGACATCCTTGGAACAATTAGGGTTCATATCTGGTGTCACCCATCCATCCAACCCCAAAGCTCACCACATGGGCATTGAGGCCAAGCAAGGCCATGCCCAGTTGCAAAGGGACGGCACATTTCCCGTCCGACATGGTTACTGGTTTGAAATTCAAGCCTACAGCCTGGATGACCCCTGGGATGATGAGGTCGCCACCATACAGATGCACTTCAGGACAATTCGAAAGGTCATTGGTGATCTTCAAAGCCAGGTCAGTCGTCATGGTAGGACCAACATGTTGCCCGAGTCCAGCCTTCCGGAGCATGGCACGCCCATGGCACTGACAGTCACCGTACATCCCAATGACCCAGGCACCTTTGTCAATCCGTGGGAGGCCCTCCCTTTTTTCACTGCACTTCAATCGCAATGGCAACCCTTAGCCTTGTTACAGCCGCCAGAGTTGCCAGCTTTGGTCCCGGTTGTTACATGGTATGTTGACCACATCCGGTTTCCTCAGTGTTTCCAGCCCCGGTTGGTCCTTTTGAACCATAACCCTGAGGACTGGATTCAGCGCTTCCGTAGTGTCTGGGTTGATTTGATTGTGCCTCAACACGTGATGCATGTCCATATGGTCCAGCCATCACCGCCTGAAATGCCCACCCATATTGCAGCCCACATGCTGATTGTACAGCAACCTATTGAGCAATTCAAAGCAGCTCTCATCACAACCTATGATTCTGCTGTGCCCAATGAACCGCCAGTCAGCCATGCATCCATGATTCCTACCCCAGTTGCATTCTCGACGGTGGTAGCATTGGCCTATCGTGACACTGTTTGCCCACACCCCAATGTTGACTGCGCCGTATGGGTAGGGGACCATGAGCTCCCACAACATGAGGAACGCCCGGTAGTGAATGGCCACTCCATTATTGTGGCTGTCCATCGACATGCGCCACCCATGCCAGCAGGTGGGGCCGAATGGGACCTCCAGCAGCCGCAGGCACCGCACCACCCCAACAACAACAGCCAGCCCCAATTGCCGCGCACAATGCCTGAAGAGCCAGCCTGTCCAGCGGGGAATGTGGACAAAGTAACCCTCAATCTCGAAGCTGTGCTACCCAATGTAACCCCCTGCCAGATCTTGGACGATGCAAAACCACACCTTTTATGGTTTGCCCAAGAGGCATGGCTATTCAAGCTTACAAGGGTGCCTCCATGCAAGCTCCATCCGTTGCCAGAAGGATTGAAATTGCCTGATGTATGCTACTGGCCGCTCATACACCCCATGCCGCCTGCCGACCCAAATCACCAACTGACCCTGTACCTCGATGGGGCAGCAAACGGCACACATGCAGCCTGGAGTGTCATTGCCACTATCAACCTGCCAATTGGTGAGGTCTTCATTGGCTGCATGCATGGGTGCGTCCACATTGCACCAGCACACCCACAGTGGATTGGCGCCGATGCAATGGACAACATAGCAGCTGAATTGACTGCGCTTGCCATGGCCCAGACTTGTGCGCTGCGATGGCCCCACCCCCATCACATGATATGCATTCGCCCGGACTTGTCACTGAGTCGGACCGTTGCCAATGCCATCACAACCTGCCGTTCCAACAAACAACTTGCCCAGCTATGCCGCATCCAAGGGCTATGGCTCACTTCCCGCACCAAGATTTGGGAGATCCGAGGACACCAAGGGTTTGCCTGGAATGAACTTGCTGACACTGTAGCTAAATGGGCTTTGACTACAGGAGCAGATGAGGCGGAACCCCAGATTCATGAGCTTCATGAGTTTGCAACATGTACACATGACGTCGCATGGGCATGGATGCAGACCACCCACCCTGCATTATCGGCGTGTTTTCCCTGCCTAGTTGACCAACAGGTCATGCAGTTTGACTCACCATCACAAAGAGTCACAGCCACACCCACTGAGCTTGTCAGAAGGGACCCACCGGACTCCAGCCATTTGCCATGGTCAGTGACAGCCGTCACCGCCAATGTGTTAGCTGCGGAGGTTTGGAGTACTCTGGCACGAGGGTCGAGGCGCACTGGGCAGCGCACACTCAGGCTTGACCAGCAGTGGCACCGCCATGGTGCCCACATCATCGGTGTCCAAGAAGCACGCACTGCAGCTGGGCAGTACCATTCCCCACATTACCGCATTTTTGCTTCAGGAGCAACAGTTGCCAGAGCGCCGCTCTACGGGTGTGAATTGTGGATCCACAAGACCAAACCCATTGCCCAAGATCCACAGGGTGCACCAATCACGCTTGGTGATGCCAAAGTCACTGTCAGGCATGCAGATCCCCGGCGTCTCATTGCAGTTGCGAGCATTGGCAAGGAGGATTATACTTTTGTAGTCTTGCATGCTCCATGCCAAGCCACCCAGCACACAGATGCCCATTCGGATGGGGATACCGTAGAGCGATGGTGGGCCGACACTAGCGTCATCTGGACCAACACAGTCACCACCACGCTCTGTTGGGCCATGATTGATGCCAATGCCCCCGTTGATGGTGCACATGGTCATAACACTGGCTCTTTGGGGGCAGAGCCAGCCAGCCGAGCTGGTAAATGCTTCATGCAGTTCCTGGTCGACCATGATCTTGCTCTCCCCTGCACATTTCAGCACATACATGAAGGACCTACCACAACATGGTCCCATGCCACTGGCAAGCAAAGTCGCAAAGACTACATTGCCATCAAGGCCAATATGATGGCATTGGCACAACGAAGCTGGGTTGACATCAGCCATGACAACACCTTTGCTCATGACGACCACCTGCCAGTAATTCTGCACTGCCAGGGGTGGCAGACGCTGCAGCCTAAGGACACTGCCTACAGGTGGGATCCAGAGAAGCTGCTGGACCAGGACACATGCCAGGCGTTCCAACGTGCCCTAGCTACCCTACCCATCCCGCACTGGTCAGTTGATGTTGATGACCATGCAGCGGTCCAGGAAGCCCAGATCCTGCAGTTAGGCCAGCAATTCTTTGCCAAAAAGCCCAGTAGGTCTCACAAAATCCAGTTGCAGCCAGACACGCTTGCCCTCATTGCGCTCAAGCGACAGGTGCTGGATTATGGCCGAGCCAATCATGAACTCACACACCCACCCTTCAAGCATGAGCTGAAGCAGCTAGAAAAAGCAGTTCACAGCAAGGTGCGTCGAGACACCCAAGTATTTTATGATGCCCTTCTGGACCGATTGGATCATGCAGGAGAGCTGCACAACCACCGCTTGATGTACCAGCTGCTGACTCGACTGGGAAGGAAGAAAGGGGGCAAACCACCAGGACCCCGGCCCTTGCCAATGCTCAAGAAACCAGACGGCACTCCGGCAGCCACTTATGAAGAACAGCAGAACATTTGGATGTCTCAATTTGCAGCGGTAGAAGCTGGGGTACCTTGCAGTTGGCCGCAGTTGCAGCAGAGCCACAGAGACCCCAATGCGTCCCACGAGGTTGACATGATTGACATTGACCCTGCTGCATTTCCAACGGTATGGCAAGTCCAATGCCTCCTTTCCAAATTGAAACGTGACAAAGTCCCAGGGCCCAATCACATCCCACCTGCGCTTCTCAAGGCGGGTGGGGAGGTCATGGCAAGACACCTCACGATCACTTTTGCAAAGGCAACTGCAAGTGCTCGGGAACCCTTACTTTGGAAGGGGGGCACTCTCATCCCACTGTGGAAAGGTAAGGACTCACCGGAGCTCCCATCGGCTTACCGAAGCATATTTGTGTCGAACTATGCAACGAAATTGTATCACCAGTTCGTCAGGCAGCACTTGGTGGCTATCTGGGAGACTAAAGCAGATCAGCTGCAGTGCGGTGGCCGTAAGGGAGTCGGAGTCGACGTTGCGCACCACCTGATTCAGTGTCAGCAAGCATGGGCAACGGCCAATGCCATTCCATCGGCAATCCTCTACATTGATCTGAGGGCTGCCTTTTACACAGTCATACGTCAAACATTTACGTCACTGCCGTGTCAAAACCCAGCATTCATGAAGGCGATGGAAACACTTGGCATTCCAATCCAGGACATCGCTGCGCTCCTGGCCGCAGCGGAGAATGAGTGCGTGACCCACGGTCTATCCAGCCATATGCAAAAAATTCTCCATGACATGATGACCAACACGTTCTTCACAGTCCCGGGGTTGAACGATCCGTGCCACACAACACGGGGAACAAGACCAGGCGACCCCGTTGCAGATGTGCTATTTAACATGTGTATGACAAGCCTGCTTGCCAGTTTCCGCACCTGCATGGCCGAATGCTGCACAGCACCATGGCTTGGCAATGAGGATCCCGTCCAGGACTTCAGTGTGGCAGCTCCCCTTCCGGCAGAGGGGTATGTTGATGTAACGTTTGTTGATGATTGTGCCCTGCTTGTGCATGCCACAACCAATCAGCGCATAGAGGAGGTCATCATTGCCCTGGTCACATCCTTTGATGAAGCTGCGCGCACCAGAGGGCTACAAGTCAACTTTGACAGAGGCAAGACAGAGCTGTTGTGGAATGTCATTGGCAAAGGTGCGAAAGCAACCAAGCAGAAGTTGTATGCAAATGGCAACCAGCTGGCTTGGGAACACCAGCACCGGCAATACAAACTACACACCTGCCATGCCTACAAACACCTGGGTACATGGACACAAACCAAGCACCGGCATGCCAGAGAAGTACTTGCACGTGCAAGTGCGGCCCGCCAACAATGGGGCCAGCTGGCCCGTCCGTTCTTCAGAAGGCCTTTATCCCTGGCTACCAAAGTCAGGGTGTTCCAAGCACTGGTACTATCCAAGATGTTGTACAATGTGCATACCTGGGCAGGTGCCAAAACAGAAGAACTTGACCGATGGAACAACCACATGCGTGGGCCCATTGCCTTGCTGATGAAGGGGGTGTTAGCCCCTCAACGTAAGTTCCGCCACACCACCGACACCCTGTGCGCTTGGTGTGGGATGCTGCCCTTGCCCCAACAAGTGCACCTCAACAGACTCCGGTTTGCCAAGAGACTTTTCCAGAGATGCCCGGCCATTACATGGAGGCTGATGCTGGCTGACACTGGGCCATGTTCCTGGCTTGCGGCTTTTCAGGGATCTTGCCAATGGATGCAGCAGCACTATGACAAGCCACACCTGCTCCCTGCCTGTGCGTCTCATGAGGCGTGGATACAGCACATTTGCCTTGATGCTCATTGGAAGGGGAGGGTCAGAAAAACAGGCCGCCTGGCCCTACACTACAATTCAGCACAAGCGGAACATGCAATCTGGCAGCACAACTTCGAAGCCACTTTGCAGCAAGCTGGTGCCACCCTTCCTGAGGATCCCATGCCTTTTGCCACCGATGAACGATGGCAATGTGACCTGTGCCCCAAAGTTTTTGCCAGCAAACGTGCGTTGGCCATGCATGCCAGCAGAGATCATGGCTACCGCAAAAAGGTACGCTACTTTGCAGTTGGCACCGCTTGCCAAGTATGTGGGCAGCTCTTTCATGCACGAAGTCGCCTGGCCATCCATTTGGAGCACAACCCAAGGTGTTATGAAGTCATTCAGGCCTGCTGGCCGCCGCTGCCTGAAGCGGATGTGGCGCAGTTAGACCAAGAAGACAAACAGGTGGAGGCTGCATTAAGGAAACGGGGGTGGTGGGCGACAAAAGCATTCCAGCCTGCGGTCAAAACATTTGGACCCACACTCCCACCATGTGGAGACCCTGCTGCGGCAAAAATGTTCACAGAGATGTTGGCCCGCCGGCCTACCGATGCAATGGCCTACCACCAGTTGCAGGGCCACAAGATCACGAAAGCCCCGCCCACCAACAAGGGACTGTGGTGGCAAACGTCTGATCTCCCAGCATTTGTGCTCCACTCCCCCCAAGGTATCGATGAAGGAGGAGGAGCATTTCAACCTGGCGGCCTTGCCAGGGAAGCAGCCAGATTGCACATCCGTGCATTAGTAGTGGTGCATTTTTTCTCAGGGTTTCGCCGAGACAAGGACATCCACCACATTGTGGAACAAAGGAGCCTTGCACATGCCACCCAGCTGTTTGTGTTGTCGGTAGATTTATGCATGCAACGGCACCATGCCGATCTCGCCACACACAAATCACTCTGCTGGTGGAAAGCCCGTGCCAACTCGGGACAACTCGTCTCAATCGGAGGCGGACCACCGTGCGAAACATACACGGTAGCACGACAATTGGATGGCCTGGGCCCCAGACCGGTCAGGTCAGCCCAAGAGCCGCAAGGTCTCCCGGGGCTCACTTGGAAAGAGTGGCAACAGATCCACATTGGAGACCGCCTGCTGCGCTTCCTCCTCGAAATGCTGCTCCTGATGTCGATTTTGGGGTACAGCGGCTTCATCGAACATCCTCAATTTCCCACTTGGGAAACCAGCCGCAGCCTCACAAGCATTTGGTGCATGAGGGCGGTCCGATTGATGAAGCGGCTCAGATGTGTCAGCATTGTGTCTTTTGACCAGTGTGTGTGTGGCGCGGCAGGGCGCAAACCCACCACACTTCTTCTTGTTCGCCTTCCAACTGTTCGCCACCGACTCCTCCAGTTAGGCAACTCAGGACGGTGTCATCACCCAGCTGGAGCGCACCAGGCGCTGATCGGAAAGCAAGAAGATGGGTCCTTCCAAACGGCAAAAGCCAAAATTTACCCAGCCCTCATGAATGAGGTGCTGGGCATCGCGATGCATGACTTTGCCATGGAGCTGGACCACGAGACGGTAGCTGACACTTTGCCCAGTGAATTCGATGTGTACACAGTGCAGCAGTTCATGGACATGGATGTAGTCCAACCAGATTACCATGGGAACTGAACTGCCCGATGTACAAATGCACTTGCAGGATCGACCCAAGTGCCAACACGGCACAGCAGCAGGAAAGGAAAAAGGGGGTAGGTATACCACCAACCAGTCATTGGTAGATGGATTTTCCATCATTTCCCCCGATTTTCCCAACCCCAGGGACGGCCAGATTTTTGGGGCCAGAAAGAACATGGGCCCTGTTCGCAGTGATCACTTTCTGCACTCCGAAATAACATGTTTTGATTGTTGATTTTTTGAAGCTTCCATCACGGCTCATGTTGAATGGTGAAATATGCTGAATGCTCCAGTTTTGCTGCGGGATTTGCCATATAGAGCAGGGTTTCTGGGTGTGCTATGGTCAGGGTTGCTGGCAGGTTTTTAGCAGGTTTGCCATCCAATAAACTCACATACATGGATGTGGAAAGTCCATCATTATTTCTCATTTTCCTGCGGGAAGTTAGACAAGTTAGCATATGTCAGGGTCATGTGTTAAACCCAAGAGTAAAGCCGGGCATTTTGTGCCATTTCGATTGCCTTTGAATACCTTTCGGACAGTGAGTTGTTTCTTTTGGGTGTTCGGGGTTCACGGGTGAGATCATGTGAGATGCCATGTTCCAAAACGTTGCAGCAAAAGGGGGAAAGCAGGTTCCAAAGACCCAGCAGATCCCAGCAGTTGGATTGATCTAAGGGAAAACTCTGGGGATATCCCAGCAGTTTTGATGTTTTAAACATGTTCAAAGCATGGTTTTCTGCAGTTCCATCCAGATGAACCAAGGAGTTGAAGAAGGCTTCTGTGGATTTGGTGGAAATCTCTGGTGGCACCTACGAGACCATGGCAATGATGCGCCGAGCTCAGGCAGTTCTTTGGAGCCTTAATCGGCTTAATGGGAATATAGCCCATGAATAAACACGAAAAAATGAATGGGATTTGTTCATATAATTTTATCGTATTTATTCATGTTAGTAATGATTTTATTTGATAAATCAACACGTTGTTTATATATACAGTAAATGAAATGATTTTGTCAACAGACGGTATTCATGTTGGAAATTAGGGTAATAATGAACCATCTATATCTTGATGATTTATACCGTCTGTTCGTAGTAACATTGTGGTTGGCTTGGTGCCAGAGGTGAGGAGCAAGGTGCCGGAGCTGGGTTGAAGACTTCGAAGCTACATACATTCGAAGTGTCCCATCTCTTAAAAAGACCTGGAACACTCAAACTCAAAATTACCCAAGCTTTGGATTTTAAGGTAGTTGGATAGTGTTTGATATAAATTTCGCTCCTATAGGAGTACTTTATGGCGGTTGGGTGTTTGTATTTTGGGCCTGCAGCCTCCCTCCCCTTGACCATGCCGAGGACACAAAGCAGCCAAGAAGGTGCCGATGGGGCAACCACATGTGGAATACAACTTATATTCGTGGGGTTAGTTGATATGTTGGTTTATTTCAAGCCTATTTGGAGCAAGTTTGGACAGTGTGGAGGTGGAGATTCGACGGGTTCAATGGTAACATCATGTGGAGCAGCAGGTCACCAATGACCCCACTTCCACAGTCGAGAAACGAATCTCAGCAAGCTTTGGCCCATATCCAACATAGAACACATGTTTTGATCATCCCATCTCCCAGCTTCCATGCTGCTTGTTTGTGCGACTTCTTGAATGTTCATCTCATCCGGTTCACTTGGCTTTGCCCAGAAACATGAGCAACCCAACATCCAATTGGATTGAAACGGTCTAAATCTAAATCATTTTAAATCACAATAAATCATCTGATATCATCATATCTCATCATATCTTATCACGTTTTTCCCCCGCCAAAAATCAATGGCCATTTCAGGAACCTAAATTGGCGGGCTATGTAAGGGAATATCCCCACAAAATATGGCCTTATATGGTACAGTACCTCCATTTTAGGATCCTGGAATTCCCATTGAAAAAATGATCACACAAAAATATATAAAAATAAGATCCCTAAAATCCCACCCATTTTTCAGACACGCCCCAGAGGCTACTTCGTGGAGTTTTCGCGCACCGTCCGTTGGGCAGCCTGGGCCGCCTGGGGAATGGGGAAAAATGGGCGAGCCGGGAGGACATGGCGACATTGGGCGTTGGTTTATGGTTGGTTTGGACTCTATGGTTTGGACTCTGATCTCATTGGGTATGTTGAATCCTGAAAATGATGCTTCATTTTGGATCATGCTTATTATCCATTCAGCAGAACGGCCCCTGCTCGGTCTGCTCCCCAAATGCCTTGCGAGTTGTCCAGGCGAACGAGTGCCCAACTTGCCTGTCATGGCGGTTGGGGGCTTTAAGAGTTCCTCGGCCTCGGAGATCCTTGGGATCCTTGGGATCCTTGGGATCCTTGGGCTTGTAACAGTGACATTAATCTGCTTGGTGGTGACTGGAATAACCACTGGTTGATGGTGACTGGACATTGGTTTAGTATGGGGTAATGATGGTTAATCATGATTAATAATCACTGCTTGGTGGTTTGGAACATGAATGGATTATGACTTTCCATATATTGGGAAGAATCATCCCAACTGACGAACTCATATTTTTCAGAGGGGTAGGTATACCACCAACCAGTCAATGATATATGATATAAGTAGTATTAATATGATTACAACCATTTCATTGATACAATGAGCCATCATTGATATTTATGAACCAAGATGGTATGGTTCAACTATATAGATCTGGCTAAATTATAACGACCTCACTGCAACCTCACTGGAATGATGATTAGTAAGGGAAATTATCCCAATATAGCCTTATTTCAGGTTTGTGTATTATAATTTGCCCAGAAACATGCACATATAACCAATAAATGATGGTTGATTGTTGATTGATGGTTGCTGGTGACAAATGAGGGTTAGACGCTTAGACTGTAGGGAAGTGATGTTTTCTAGAGGGAAAATTGGAACATCAATGATACATATGAAGTTGATGTTCACAACCTACCATTATTTTGTGCTGTACCTGATGATGTCATATGATGTCTGGGTTATGTTGACATGCGTGATGTGGTCATACTGGCGGTATTTGTGCAAGCTCATGGATCTAGGTCTCTCGGGCTGTGTGAAGGCCTTGAAGGACTCGGGACGAGCCGAAGGTGGTGAATTAGATAGACCCTGAAAATCACCAATTTTTAGTGGAAACTAATCTTCCAAACCCTACCTGGCAGGGTCTATGTTAATTTACTGGAGGGTAACCTTTGGTGAATGGTAGTTCCATGGTATGTTTGCAGGTTTTGATGGGCAAAGATTCAAAGTCTTCAGCTGAAAGCAATTATTGCAAGGTATCAGTGATGATTTGGCACCAATTGGACCGGATCTTGAGATGCCTTGAGTGCAAAGAAGTCTGGAGCTCTTACAAAGCACCTGTGACACTGTTGACTTGCTGGAAACCGAAGTTCGTTCCAATATATTCCAATATTCATTCCAATATTCATTCCGTTCCAATATTCATTCCGTTATATTCCAATATTCATTCCAATATTCCAATATATTTCCAGCAATTTTCATTCCAATATTGCTGGAAATTGCTGGACACCCGACATCGCTCCCCATCCCAGGAGGGCGAGTGCGATGTGGTGGGCCTATGCCGTGCCCTCTGTCTTCAACCGGATTTGCCATCCAGGACGCCCGGAGGATCCCCAATCTTTGGTATTATCCTAGGCATCGTAACGGGTAACCTTGGTGAAGAAGTTCCAATAGGTTCCAAAGGTAGATATAGCATGATATAGCTAGGTTATATATTGTTTTTACGGGAGTACTATTTGGTATTCCCCATACCTCCCTGTAAAGTAGTGTCTTTTGTCCATTGTAATGTATCTGTTACTTCATGGCTCAAGCAAAACAGTGTGCGCGCTTACTGGCTGATTGTGGCTTGATTTCCTACAAATATAGGTTATCAGCCGTATCGCCAGATACGTTCCTTTTGTAAGTAAATGTCTGCCCCCTTTGGAAAACCATCTCCAGAGGGCTCACGCGACTCCGGGATCCATCAAGCCATGGCGATCGAGGATGCAGACAATGGCCAAACTGGAAACGACGCACCAAGTCACACAACTTCCCAGACTCCTTCAGAACGCTCCCGCAGTGATAAACGTGAGGTCCGTGTCCCGCTTCCACCAGGCGCCGTTGTGCCCCAAAGTGGAGCCCAGAGGTTTTCACACCGTGGACATGACTTTCACGCATCCCGGGAGGGCATGCCTGCCGGCTCACATCATGTACATTCCAACACTGTCGAGGTACACCACCATGAGACGACTGAGGTGAATAACACCATGAATCTACGACAGGTACAAAACAATGAAGTGTACGTGAATTCACACGACCCTGCAATTACACAGATGGTAGAGCAGGTTGCCGAAGCACGTCATCGAGAGGCATTAGCCAACACTGAACACATGGTGCAATCGATGATGTCCGAAATGAGCGGTAGGTTCCATGCAGAAGAACAAGCTGCGAGTGCCCGGATGCAACAGATGATGTTGCTCGCAGAGAGTCGGGAAAATCAATTTCGTGAAGAATTGGCCCAACAAGGGGAAGTATATAAAAGGGTTTTAGACGGAAATGCCAGACAGTCAAATGCAACGAAGGAACAACAAATCCAATCACTCAGGGATCACTATGAACGCCAGGATGAACATCGTAAGATGCAGATGTCCCAACTTGAATCCATCATCAAGCAACAAAGTGAGCAAATAAAGGCCCAACAGTTGCAAACCGAATCCATGAACATGAGGATGAGTAAACTCCTTGACACAATAGGCCCAATGCCGATTCCAATTGTCCAGACCGCCACTGCCATATTGCCGCCGTCCACTGAGGTCAAGTACTCTGCACCGTTGCCGTCATTTGCATCAGCAAGTGCGTCTAAACCGGCGGAACCCAACCAAGATATATGGGAAATGCTTGACCCGGAAGGAAATGCACCAGTGGATAATAAGGATCCTGTCTCTGAGATAACCGGTCTTAGGTCCCCAACGTATCCACCAACAAGTGTTGCACCATCGGATGCAGGTAGAAAGCCACCAGGACCTGACCCTCCAGATGATGACAAGGACTCACAGGCAGATCGCGACGGCAGACGTGGTAAGGACAATCGTGGGAAGAAGCCCCCTCCGGGGAGCCGACGCCCACCGGGAGGTGGGCCTGGGGACGGTGATGATGATGATGGAGACGGGGATGGGTACAACTCTGATGATAGTGACCATCGATTCATCCGTCGCATGAGAGCCATGTTCGGCAGTTCCAGGGACCAGTCACATGAAAAGAACAAGGTCAAAGAAGCCGACACTGTGAAAGTTCCAGCTTTTCCCCATGCGGAGTCATACAGAAATTGGAGGATTCGCACAAGGGAAGCTGTAATGTCAGCATCTACTGATCCTGATAAAGCATTTGATTGGATAAGTGAGACCTGGAAAGAAGGCCAAACAATCGGGGCTCTTCGTGACGTAGGCAAGTTCACCACACTGGATGCCAAGTTGCTGTCCGCGCTCACCAATATTCTCACAGGTGATTTCGCAAGAAAGGTTGACACTTATAAAGAGACTGAAGCAACAAACCATCGTTATGTGAGGGGCCGTCAAGTACTGTTTATGATGCATGAACATTTCAGTACAAACATCAAGCATGGAGCGACCTACTCACTACAGGATTTGTTCAGTGTCAAACTTAAGGGTGACAACCTACGCGGATTCATCAGCAATTAGGATCAAGTGATGGCTGGTATCCCCAAGATTCCTGAGATTAGCATTCTGGAGACTCTGTTCTTTAACCAAGTCAAGACCAGTAAAGCAATAGCACACGACTTGCAGGAATATCATCGTGCTGAGGATGGGACCGAAAAGAAGTCCTACGATTTCCTAGTGACAGCAGTTCGCCGCTACTTGGATAGGGAGCGACTCGAGTCCAATCGTGAACGAGTTGCCAGGACCCTCGGTGCCTCGTCGTCCAGCGCAGCTCCGGCTGTGGGTGAGAAGACTGGGTACATTCCAAAGGGATACTGTGTCAAGTGGAATAAAGGGACCTGCACGAATGATGCCTGCCCATTCAAACATGAGAAGCCTCCACCAAAGAAAGACAGAAGTCAATCACGACCCTCATCCGACCGTGGCAGATCGTCATCAAGGGGTAAGAACGATAAGAGCAAGAAGAAGCAGCCATGCAAGTTTTGGAAACAGGGAAGATGCAACAGAGGCAATGACTGTAGGTTTAGTCACGAGGGTAAGCAAACCAAGTCTCCTCGTGCTGCCACTCCTGCCAGGCCTTCGTCAAATGACTCGAAAGGATCCAGACGAAGGAACAGCAGAAGTCCAGGAAAAGGCAGGGACCGCTCGCCAAAGCAGAAGGGATCAAGGAGTCCCAGGAATAGCCGCTCCCCAAAGGGGAATAGAGGCAAGCCTGACACTCCCAAAGCTTCCCCAGCAGCCGTCTGCCTGATTGCCTCGATGTTAGCATCTGTATCCAATGCATGCCTTATGCCACCCATTGATGTGATCAGTTGCCCAGCAGTGACATTTGACACCAATCACGATGTGTATCAAGTCATTGCCAAGGGGGACCTTGAGCCTATCAATCCAGCTTCAAGGAGATACAAGAGAACTTTTCCTATCAACTATCCGTTTGATTTTGACCGAAGAGACGTAGAGGACGCATGTTTGTCAGCGAACATGTTGGCAGGAGCAGTCAAGAATTCGTTAATGAACAACCAACAGAGGTCAAAAGGATGTTATAAACGATTTATGCGGCCCAAGGCCTTATAAATCAATTTCTCTTTTCTTGGGATGTTACACTTCTGTGGGCATGCTCCGCATAATTTTCCTTCAACCGAACGAACATGTGACATATGGCAATTTAAAGATCATCGCACGTCTGTCAAGACGATGAAAACGTCGTTCAAATTTGCTTTTTCTAACTCTACCACAGCACCCTCAGCAAATTTGGAAGGCAATCCTTTTTAGACCATGGACATGCTCCTAGGAGAGCTTGACTTTTGGATCCCACCCCACCACACCATCAGCAGATGCCACGCATCGCCAAGAGCACGCGGCCGGCCAATCACTCTTTGATTGCATTGGACTTTCCATCCCTCAGCAAGTCCTTGACATTAAGCATGCGCCTGCATGATACTTCTATTAGACTTGTTTCTTTTAGGCTGGAAACTTCCGCGCCTGTACGGCGCGCGTGCCAAATATATAAGGTTGGCCTGGAAACATCACAATATCAGGTTACATTTAAATTTCCATTATTTATTTTCTTATTCTTGAGATATCCACCGTTTTCAAACAATCCCAGAGCGGTTTTTGTTTCCTCCAAAAATGCGAAAGCAGGCTTACACCTAAAGCATTTAACCAGCAGGAACCCTCAAAAGCACCAGCAATAAAACAAAAGAGTAGTCTCAGGACACGAGGAAGATAAAGCACCATTTGTATTGTATTGTTAACCTTTGCAGTTCCTGGACACTGTTTTCTTTTGCAAAACGTTTTGGTATAGCAAGGCAGCACCATGCTCTTCAGGGCAGCCCACATTGACAGGTAAAGGCGCTCAAACACAGTCGACAATGCTTTTCAATGCAAGCATTCCAAAAAGAGCAAGCGTGTCATCATTGGAGCGGCCCATGCCGCGCCCGCTTGTGCCCGTGAGGGGCTCTTCAGCTTCATGCGCAGTGATTGTCGGACGGCAAAATATTGAAAGTTGCAAGTGCATACCGGGGGTTGCTCTCTGGCTTTATATATGTGTAAATATATATATACATATCTCTTTACTGCTATTTATTTTGTAAATCTCTCTCTTTTTCCAGAATATATATATACATATGTGTGTGTGATATATATATATATATATATGTATATATATATATATGTGTGTGTAGTTTTTTTTAAAAAAAATATATATATATATATATTCATTCTCACGCATCCCAACGTGTCAGGCTTTTAAGTAGGGATACGTTCCTCAACTCCCATAGCCAATTTGCAAGTTTCGGTGACACGGCGGTCTGAACAACCATCGTCGCAAGTCCACATATACAGGGTCAAACTACATGCTTGATGTAAAAAACTACTAGCAGTAAAGTCGGCGACTGCGGTTTCGCTCCGGTATGCACTGCGACGAGATCAATGCGACAAAAATCATTGATGGAGGAATCGACACAGCGGAGTCAAAAAAAGCCATGCCCCTACTTTGCGGCACAAAACCGATCGTGGCAACATTGAACTGCTGTATAGGTTTCTAAGCGGCCCGGGAAACAAATAGGAAGCTCCATCCGACTGCAATCATGCATGGCTGTTAATTACCACATTCCGGAAAGGTTGCCCCATGGGCTGCTTACACAGACGCACAAAGCGTATATGTATTTTTACACGCAGGACTTTCTGCGCATGTCATTTTTTCGCCAAGCCTTTTCTAGCACTCTTCTCATGTCAGCGGTCAGCTGGTTTTTTTGATCAAGCACGCTTTGCGCAAAAACACATCACACAACCTGGTGATAGCATGGTTTGGCCACAGAGAGAGAGGTATTACCGGAGTTTTTCTCCTACCAATTTTTCCCCGGCGAGGCCCACGCAGGCTTGCCAAACAACCAAACAAGAAACATGTTGCAAGCCCTACTGCCTCTGAGCATAAGCATTC